GATTTTGCTTTCCTCCGTATGTTTTTGAGGCATGGGACTGTTGATTGAGACAAGATGAATCAACAGATTTTGGCCCAGAAGGCATGAGTTTATTCTGGCTTCCAGTATAAAGCAATATAAACTCTTAACCTGTCATGTAATCCATGAGTTTACGAACATATCTTTGTAAAATGGCAGCAATGAGGCAAGGCTTGAAGACGTGTTGTGGATGTAAAGTCAAATAGTAAATGCTAGAAAAAACAGTAATAAGAAAAGAAAAAATTCAAATTATATTTGTTCATTGTTGCAAAATATACGTATTCCTAAAAGAATCCTAACTTTTTCTAAAAAGGGAACCGATTAATGTTTTCTTTTATGATTGTATTTCCAGAATTGTATATGGTGAAAAAGATCTAAATCTTCAGAAATAATTTGGGGGTTCAATGTCATTCTCTCCTTTTTACCACAAATATCTATAATGATATAAGCATTCACTGTAGGTGTCAAGTAAAAATGGCAGTTAGAGAGTTCATCTCATAACTTAAGAATTAAAGATTATTGCATTTTAATTAAACCAAAAGTTGTATTGTTAACCTGCGTGCTTCCTGACAGCAATTTGATTTGTGGGCTGTTTTACATTTAAAATGAAAGATGGTGCATTGGAATATTATTGTCTGATGTTTATGACTTTTTAATTCTTTGTGAATTAGTTCTAGTTAGTTCTTATTAATTTCTAAATGATCAAGTTCCCGAGGTGCACAAAGCTCCATTCAGTTGCAAACCCTATTTTTCTCCCACAGAAAGTGTTTCCCTTGCCTGGGTGAAGAATCAGGGCTGGGAAAGGTGCTCTAGGGACCAGAGAATTTGGAAGGAAGACCTAGCAGTAACTGAACAGTGGAAGCCAAAATAATCCTGGCAAAGTCAAGCCCGTTTTTGCCTGCTGCCCCGAGCATGAGTGTTATGTCCAATTAGCAAACATAGCATCTGAGGTTTTCTTGGCTGCCATACAACTCAGATTGCTGCTTTAGTGGCAGCCGAATGATTATCAGAAGCACATTTGGGTGAAGGACAGAGACCCCAGAGAACACATGTGAAGCATTATTGTATCAATGTGCACGAAGTTTGCAATGAGAGGGAATCTTTCTTCATTTTCAAGTAAGGTGAACTCCTGACTTGAAATCCTCCCTTTATTGGTATCATTTTTATCTGTTGTAAAAATACTTAGCTGTGCTGTATCAGGTAAAGTTTTAGTCTCAATAATTTGCACATACTCGTTGTCCTAGTGGAGAAATGTTATTGTCTCCTGGGTCTCCGTTTCATCAGGTCGGGTCCTCCACACAGGTGACAAAGCTCCACCTCTCAAGGACTAAGTGATGGTCTTAGAGAAAACTGATTCCACTTACAGCGACCAAGAGGCTGTGAGCCATAGCCGTGGAATCCACAGATGTCTGCTGGGGAATGCCAACAGTAGAGCCATCTAATACAGCATCCCGTTTTCCACTTGTAAGACATGTGTTGGGAAGGACGTCTGTCACCAGCTCTTTAGACCTATGATAGTATTGTTTCCTTTGTGGTCTGCACTCACGGTCTGGGGTGAGTGATTTGAGCTCCGAGAAGCCTGTACAACTCCAGGACTTCATCTAGAATAGAAGGCACAGATTTGGGATCATGAAACTCAGTTTGGCTCAGACCTTTGTTCCTAACTCCAAGCATACATTGTATGATTCTCTGCTTTTGTCCCTCATTCTACTCTGGTGTTCCCCATGTCAAAGCTATGGAGTTTTTATTTCAATTATCTTATTTTTAAAATTTATTTATTTATTTGTTTTTAAAGATTTATTTATTTATTGGAAAGTCAGATATACAGAGAGGAGGAGAGACAGAGAGGAAGATCTTCCGTCCGATGATTCACTCTCCAAGTTAGCGCAACGGCCGGTACTGCGCCGATCCGAAGCCAGGATCCAGGAACTTCTTCCAGGTCTCCCACACGGGTGCAGGGTCCCAAAGCTTTGGGCTGTCCTCGACTGCTTTCCCAGGCCACAAGCAGGGAGCTGTATGGGAAGTGGAGTTGCTGGAATTTGAACCGGCACCCATATGGGATCCCGGCATGTGTTCAAAGCGAGGACTTTAGCTGCTAGGCCACGCTGCCGAGCCCTAAAATTTATTTATTTTATGATGCAGTTCCAGAAACTCAAGGCTTTCCCCTCCTCCTCTCCCTCCCCAGTTCCCATCTACACACTGCTTTTCTCTGTATTATTACAATAGTATAGTCCTTAAAAAACAGCCCATTATGCTGCTATTTAAATGTATCCTGACATTGTAGATATAGTGACAGAAAATCCAGCATCTTATTGTCAACATATACTTATCAATTTATTTGCGAGTCCATCTTTGATTTGAATTAGAGTTGCATAGTGCATTGCATCTTCACATCTCGATATGCTAGTCTGTATTATACAGATCCTCCAGGTGACAATATGCACATTGATGTTTATCCACGTATATATATTGATCTTGTATTTCACATGAAGATTGCCTTACATCAGAGAGATAAATAAACTGGTGCATCTACTCTATGGAATACTACTCAACCATTTAAAATAATGAAATTTTACCATCTGCAACTAAATCATCCCAACTAGAGACCATTAAGCTCAGTGAAATATGCCAATCCCAAAAGGACAAATATTATATGTTTTTCCTGATATGAGTTTTTCTTTTAGATCAGTCAATCACCACTAAGAGAAGTAGCAGGCTGCCCCTGCTTCTCCTACTTTCCAAACCCTTTGGAATTCTGTTACAGCTGCACTTACTGGTCACTGTGATGGCAATGGAGAGAGTGACCTTCAGATAATCAGAGAAGTCAGTTAAACTTCTTCAAGATTTATGTCATGGCATGAAGAAACAAATTATCTTCTGCTCCATACAGATTTGTTAAGCTGGCTACTGGCATTATCTGTTATTAGGTTATTTCTTATTTTAAAAAAAATTGTTTATCGGGGTCCGGCATGGTGGCGCAGTGGTTAAGGTCCTTGCCTTGCACTCCCGGGATCCCATATGGGCGCCAGTTCTAATCCCGGCAGCTCCGCTTCCCATCCAGCTCCCTGCCTGTGGCCCGGGAAAGCAGTCTAGGACGGCCCAAAGCTTTGGGACCCTGCACCCGTGTGGGAGACCTGGAAGAGGCTCCTGGCTTTGGATCGGCATAGCATGGGCCATTGCGCTCACTTGGGGAGTGAATCATCAGATGGAAGATCTTCTTCTCTGTCTCTCCTCTCTTTATATCCGCCCTTCCAATAAAAATAAAATAAATCTTATTAAAAAATTGTTTATTTTAAAAAGTTGTGTACGTAGTGGGGCGGGGGGTATGTTTTATCTGCTAGCTTACTCCCCAAATGCCTGCAATAGCTCAAGCTGGGCCAGTATGAAGCCTATAACTGGGAGCTTCTTTCTAATCTCCCACTTGGGTCCACATACCTGGACCATCCTCTTTTGCTTTCCCTGATGATGAGCAAGGAGCTGCATTGGGCAGCTGTGGGCAGTGCTGGCACTGCAGGCAGTGGTTTTATGCAGAACTTCATTGCACCAGCCACGGATAAGTTATTTCTGCGTCCAGCTTCAGCTTTCTACCTGGTGAGAGTAAATTTCATGACAGACCCTGAGCTGGGTTGGCTGGAAGATTCTCTCACCACAGACTTTGGTGGCTGATGTGCCTGTATAAGCAGCAGAAGATGGCCCAACTGCTTGGCATGTGGGAGACCCAGAAGAAATTCCTGGCATCTGCCGTTGGTCTAGCCTAGCCCTGGCTTTTGGGCCCATTGGGGAGCAAATCAGAATATGGAAGAACTCTCTTTGTTCCCCTCTCTCTCTGTAACTGTGCCTTTCAAACAAATAAATATTTTTAAATAAGAGGAAGAAGTCTTCAGTTACTGAACTTAAAAATATGATAGCTGATATATTTTCTTCATACATTTTGTTTTTAATAAATTCTACCTTTTATATTTGAATACTCACAGCAATACCAATTTATCATAGCAACTTATAAAGACACCCAGCTCATTGACTGGCAGGGTAGAGGTGAGGGTGATGCCCATTGGACCATATGTCCAGAACCCTTTCTTTTCTATAACAATGCCTTTATCAATAACTTGTAATTATATAAAATGTCAAAATAGGGTTGTGAGGACCTACTTTATTTTGGCTTTATTTAAAAAAAATAATACACATTTTCTCTCATATTTTCCTCAGTCTCCTCAATATCTCTTTTCTTGAGGCTGGCGTGGTTGGCGTAACAGGCTAATCCTCCACAAGCAGTGCCAGCTTCCCATATGGGCGATCAGCTCAGCTCTGTAACTTGCAGTGATTTGGGGAGTGAACCAGTAGAAAGATGATCCCTCTGTCTCTCCTCTCTCTGTAAGTCAGCCTTTCCAATAAAAATAAACAATGAACTGTTAAAAAAAATTCCCCTTTCTTGTGAATCCTTTGTGAAGGCTAAACATGACTCATCTTTAAAAGTTTATCTGCCACCTGTCAGATTGTTTATCTGTCGACATTTTTGTTTATAACTAAAATTTGCAAGACCTCTCATACTCTCAGATGCTAGGGTGAAAGTTGTTCAATTGGGGATATAAACATTTCGTTGTACCAATATTTGGGCGGGGGGCAGAGGTACTGTAATGCTAAAATTATTTTTGAATCTTTCAGTCACTATTTTTACTCATTGAAGATAAATGAAATGGAAATAATTTGTTTTTCAGGAGCACCTTCTCATCTTTTTATCTATAGATGAATACCCTACACATGTGTATTAGTATGTGGTATAAATATGTTTGTACATACTGTGTATATAATTTTATATTCTGCACTTTCTGGCCAAGCAAAATTGTTTTAATGAAAGTTCTCCAAAAACTATCTGTAATAGCCAGCTTTTATTATGTGATCTTTAAGTTTTTTAAATGTATTTTAAAGAGTATGAATAATGTTTTTGACATGAATTTTGATGTGCCGTGTTGATTATTTTGTAGGGGCAGATTTGTAGAGGAACTCTCCCAGGTGAGTGGCAACCTGTATGGATTTATGTACTATTTCCTCCATGTACCATGTCTAGGTAAAGTCATTCTGGGAAGATTTTCAGGTGATGAGGTCTTTATTTCATTCACACAACAGCATGAAGTGGAAGACGCAATGTCTTAGGTAGTGCTGTAAATTTCAAGTTCCAGATGAGATCTTAATGGGTTCAGGACTTTGGAAAAATTACTCAGTATGGCTCTGCTATAGTTTTTTTATTTGTAAAATTGGGGCAACTGGATTTTTTATAGCATTATTATTGGGAAAATATAAATATATTAATTTTATGTGATATCTATCAAAATTCATATGGTGACTAGTCGAGTTCTGAAGATATTATAGATATTAATTCTTCATTGAACAAGCAGCTTGTTATTACTTTTTTCCATTCTATTGAACGTGTATTTATTGAGGCATCCTTTGCTGTGTGGAAACTTCTCATCTGATGTAATTCCAGTTGTCTGGTTTTTATTTTGTAGCCTGTGCTTTTAGGATATTACCTAATAATCATTGCCAACACCACTGTCTTGAGGTGTATCCCTATGTTTTCCTGTGGAAAGTTTATGACTTCACATCTGCCACTTAGGTCTCTCACCCACACTGAGATCATTTTGTGTCTGGTGAGAGGTAGGCATCTATTTCACTCTGTGTGTATGGCTGGTTTGCCAACATCTTTATCTGACAGCCTGTCCTTTCTCTGTTGCGTGTGTTTGGCACCTTTGCCAAGAATCAGCACTTGGATTAATCTGTAGTCTGGGTATTGGATCTGTCTGTTGCTAATGCCAGTACAGTGCTCTTTTATTACTATAACACTGTAGCATGCTTTGAAGTCAGGTATTATGGTACTTGCAGCTGAATTTTTTTTAATTTGGAATTGCTTTTGCTGTTCTGTGTCTTTTGTGCTTACATTCGGTTAGTACTGTTGTGTTTTATAATTATGTAAAGAATGTCATTGATATTTTATGGGATTGCATGGCATTTGCAGATTGGAGCATTTTAATAATATTTATTATTTCAATCCATGTACAGGGAATATTTTTCCATGGAGTGTGTATGTGTGTCCGTAAAGGCTTATTGTGACAGTGCTGTATAATTTTCGTTTTGCTTCTTTGATTAAACTTATTCCTAGACAGTTCATTTTTGTTCTTATTGTAAATAAAATTTATTTCTTGATTTTTCTTTTCAGCTGTAGTATGATTAGTATATCAAGTGCTTCTGCCTTTTGCACATTTATATGTTCATTTTGAATCCTGCAACTTTAGTGAATTGGCTTATTCATTGTAACAGATTTTGTCTCAGTGTTTGTTTTTTCCAATGGAAAATTTTTGTTGTCTGAAAATAAGGGTTTTTTATTCCCTTCTTTATAATTTTGATGTTGTTTACATCTTCCTATCCCCTAATGGCTGATGCTGATACTGTCAATATTCCGTTGAGTAATAACAGTGAAAGTGGACATCTTTGGGGCAGGCATGATGGCATAGTGGGTAAAACTGCTAGCATCCTGTGGTTTGAGTCCTGCGTGTTACACTTCTGATCTGTTTCTTTGCTAATGCACCTGGGAAAGCAGCAGAAGGCGGCCCAAGTGCTTGGGCTCTGCACCCATACAGTCAATCCAGAGGAAGCTCCTGGCTGCGGACTGACCCACTCCACGTTGTGGCTATTTGAGGAGCATGTGGAAAATCTCTCCCTGTCTGTACCTCTCTCTGTAACTCAGCCTTTCAAATAAATAAATAAATCTTTAAAAAAGAAAGAAAAAAGAAAAGAAAGGAAGCAAGCAGGCCAATATTCTTCTCTTGATCAATATCTGAGGGGGCTTTTAGTTTTGCCCTGCAAAGTGTGATAATAGTTGTGGGTTTGTCATATGGAGCTTTTATCATTTCTAGGTATGTTTTTCATATTGATAATTTTGCTGAATGTTATTAAATATTTTCTTTGTATCTTTTTGGGTGGATTCTTTACTATTTTGTCTTAACCATTTTTAATCTGTTGTGTTTTTTAAAAAGAGAACAGACTTAATAGATTTTATAGATAAAGTTCTAAGAATATAATGATACTTCCTCCTCCCCTCTGTCTTTTTAAATTTTTGAATTGATATATTTAATTCACTTTATACTCAAAGACGTGGTGCTGCGCAAGCTAAGGAGTCCCAGCAGTTGAAAAGGAATGACAGCATTGTTCAGCAGGAATGTAGATAGGGCTATAAAAATAATCAAATCAAATGATGTTAATTTCCATCATTTATAGTACGCTTTTCTAATACTTTCAATTTATTACAAATCAGAGATTATGTGATATTTGGGTTTTTTTTTTTACTTCTCTTTAGTATTATCATTTTATGATTCAGTTCCATAGGCCCTGGGATTTCCCTTATCCCTTTCCCAATTCCCTCTCCCATCACTGAGCTCCCCTATATCATTACTATTGTATAGTTCTTCATACACAGTCATATGTCCATCATTGTGGGCATGGACAATGGTAGAGAGTCCAGCATCCATTGTGAAGATAGAGTAAACAGTTTCATTGGGAGTCCATCTTTGTCTGGAGTAGAGATGCATACTGCATTGTATCCTCACATCCAGATATGATAGTCTCCATAGCACAGTTACTATACCTCCCCTTAAGTGAAAAGCCACAATACAAAATCAACAACGGAAGAAAAATAAACATTTACAATGCCATGAAGTTAAATAACATGCTGTTAGATAGGATAGTCTCCATTACACAAAACAAAATCAATAACAGGAAGAAAACATCCAGGAGGGGCACATTTCTCCCAACAGGGTTGACCAAAAGCGATCTTCACCATGACACATGATAATCAAGCTCTCTTCAGTCAAACATGAGGAAAAGATCCTTAAATGTGTACATGAAAAAAATCAATTGACATATAAAGGAATGCTAAGTAAACTCACAGGAGACCTCTCACAGGAAACTCTACAGGCCAGAAGAGAATGGAATGACATATTCCAGATTCTAAAAGCAAAAAATTTCTGGCACAGGATAATATACCCAGCAAAATTTTCCCTTGTCTTTGACAATGGAATAAATTCTTCCACAGTTAAGAAAAGTTAAAAAGTATTTGCCTCTTCCAAACCTGCCCTACAAGTGATACTTAAAGATGTTCTCTTGACAGAGAAAAGGAATAGTGCCCACCAAAACCAAAGGCAAATGTGAAGAGCATCCCAGTAGAAAAAAACCAAAAAAACAAAAAACAATAGACAGGACCAAATTACCTATTCATATTAACCCTGAATGTAAATGGATTAAACACAGCAAACAGCATAGATTAATAGACTGGATTAAAAAGCAAAACCCATCTTTTTGTTGTCTACAGGAGACACATTTTACTAACAAAGATCAGTGGAACTATATCTCATGGATTTAGATTTTTTTTTGTTGGTGTCACCTATTCAAAACACTTTCTTCTCATTAAATTCTTCAGTGACTCATAGATCATGGGATAGCATCATTTTCTTCAAGAAGGTCTTTGTTTTCTTTTTAATTTCTTTAGCGACACATTAGTCATTCGGTAGCATGTTATTTAACTTTATGGTGTTGATATTTGTTTTTGGATTCTGGCTTATTTCACTAAGTATAATGATCTCCAGATACATCCACTTGATCGCAAAAGGATTTTTTTTTTTAATGACTAAAAGATCATTTTGTCTAAGTTCTGTATTTTCTTTATATAGTCCTCAATTGATAGTAATCAAGGCTGATTGTAAGCGTGGTAATAGTACAGGTAACTCTTTCCTATTCTAACTTCATTTCCTTTGAGTATATTACCTAGCTGGGTCATTTGGAAGAAAATATATTTTTAAGTTTTCTTAATTATTTATTTGAAAGGTGCAATTACAAAGAAAGAGAGAGAGAGAGGGAGAAAGACTGACCTTGGAATCACTGTTTCACTCTTCAGATGGCTGCACACAGGTGGGAGCCAGGAGCTAGGAATTCCATCTGGGTGCCAGGAGTACACTTCTGCTCTTATCACAGGCACATTAGCAAGGAGCTGCATGGAAAGTGGAGCAGCTGGAACTTGAATTGGTGCTCAATGGGATGCTAGCCTCACAGGCAGTGGTTTAAGCTGTGGTGCCACAGTGCCAGCCCATGAAGGTTCGAGTTTTAGAGGATTCTCTGTATCATCTTCCATAGTAGTTGTACAGTTTATATTCCCACCAGCAGTGTTTTAGGGTACCCTTTTCTCCATCTCCAGTGTTTGTTATTTTTTGATGTTTGGATGATGTAGCCATTCTAACTGTGATGAAGTGATACCTCATTGTTTTTATTGATGCTGAACATTTTTATATTGGACATTTCTATTTCATCCATTGTGAAGTGCATGTTCATGTTCTTGTCTTTTTCCATATTTGTTAGCTTGTTCTTTTTTTTTTTTTTTGCTGTTGAGTTCCTTAAGCTCTTTATGTATACTGAAAATTAAACTTTTATCAGATACATAGTATACAGATACCTTTTCTGATTCAGTCAGTTGCTTATTCACTGTGTTGAATATTTTTCTGGGCTGAAACTTCTTAGCTTGATGTGACTCTATTTATTTTTGTTCTTATTACCTGTGCATTTGGGGTCTTATCCGGGAAGTCTTTGCCATGCTATGGACTTGTGCATGTTTTCTCCTAGTAAGTGATAGTTTCAGATCTTAAATTCAGATGCTTGATCTATTGTGAGCTGATTTTTATAGAGAGTGTAAGGCAGGAATGTGGAATCTACCCTTCTTCTGGGAGTAATTTTAGTTGCTTTCAAAGGTTGATTGGTTGTAGATGCATTTGTTTTGTTTGGGGGATTTTTTTTAGTCTGGGCTTGTGTCTTGTTCTGTTGGTCTACATGTCTGTTTTTGTGTTGGTAATAGGCTGTTTTGATTATTACAACCTTGGCATATGCCTTTAGATCTGATATTATGATGCCTCTGGTTGCTTTGACTATTTGGAATCCCATTTGACTTTTAGGGTCACTGTTCTAGATCTGTGAAG